GCAAGAATTAAACAACTACTAATGTATAAGTTAGAGAGATGATTGTGGTTAAACATTAGCTTTGACTCAGTGCAATCATAAGCAAAGTGATCAGGTTTACCACAATTAAAACAATTTATATTTGTGCATTTCTTAACGCCGCGTTTTCTACGCTTGTGCTTATGTCCACTACTACATGCTTCTATTCCTCTCTTGCCATATTTAGGACCTTTAGCCTTACATTTTTTATATTTAGAGCTATATGGTCCGCGTATCTTAGTCTTAGATATAAAAGCCTTATTTATAGGCTTTTCAGCGTGAAGTTGAACTTCTTTAAGCTCAACATGACAAACAACATCGTTAAATGTCTTGATGTTGTCATTGTGGGTAAAGTTAACACGCATATGTTCCCAATTACTTGGCAAAGAGCGGATAACTGCTTGGCCTTGTTGTTCATCAGTCATCTCATGCCCAGTACCCCTTAATTCACTGATCATATTAGACATGACTATAAGATGCTACCTCATTGTTTGATTTTGATACTTTTTATAACCATCGAATTTGAGGGTTCACTAACGAAGTCTAGTAGTGGAGGTTCCTCCATACTGAATCTTTACTGTGTCCCAAACATATTGAGCTGAATGATGCCTTTCAAAACGCAGCATTATATCATCTATTATGCTGTTCAACATCAAAATATGAGTTACATGATCTTTGTGTTTATAGGTTTGATATGTTTCCATATTAAGCTTGTGTTGAGCAGTGTTTCCTTGCTCAGGTTTAGCCATCAGTTGTGTGATTGTTTCTAGCATTTTTAGCTCTTCCAAGAGATACTCAATCTTATGATGCCAAACATCATAATTCTTTTCATTTAGTTTGTCTCTATGGTTCAAATCAACAATAATACTCTTAGATGCAACCATATTAAGCTCTATTGACAACAATCATAAATATTAGTATCTAGTACAATTTAATTGATATATTTTGCCACTCCATTCTAAATTAAACAAATAATAATCTAACACATACAATAGAAATGAAAAGAATGTAAACACTTAATCAATTTCTAATTGTATGGTCTAATTATTATTGAAAATTTAAATGAGTACAAAATTATAATTATTAGTTTCATCTAACAGCTTTCACTAATTTGGTTGCAGATAGTATCATAAATATGCATATAATATAATTAAACTTAAATTACATAAAATATTCAATTCATAATTAAACAACCAATTATCTTTAAAAAAATAAAATATTAAGAATAATAAATTTCAAAAATTATTTTATATTATAGGCATATAAGTAGGGTCTCCAATTACGTCATCCACTTCATCAAAGTCATCTTCTCTAAGTTTATTTTGCTGAAATCATGGAATGAATTTAACAAAAGTATCTAAATGACCTGCGCTTTTTCTAGTGCGTTGTATACCCTTTTTGACATATTGATGTTCCCTCTCAAGCAGTATTTCATCAGTGAAATTGTTAAAATCTAAGGATTCCAGCCTATATTTTAACAATAGTCGCACTGACATCCATTCTTTAGGCAGAGAATTGAGAACGATTAACATTTGATGTTCCATGTAGAGTTCGTAAACACCACTCATAACCAGTCTACTCATCCGATGATATATATAATCAATGTGCTCTTGAATATTATGAACAGGATTAATGGCATAACCCAATAAATGATCAATTTGTTGTTGTCTATCTATTACAACAAAATATTTCAAAAAGCACATAAATATTATACTTAATATTTAATTAAAACATGTATAATCATACATATTAAAAAAATATAGAAATTAAGCAATTTATTTTAATAGTAAATATATAGAAATTAAGTAATTTATTTTAATAGTAAATAAATTGGTACCGCTATTTGACAGTTTATATTAACAAAAAAATATTAATTATCTTAATATTATTTTTAATATTAATATATATTAACTATCACATATCTTTTGAAAGATGTGTTCATTCGATTTTCCTTTTCTTTTTTCTTCTCAACTGCCAAATGATAGTTAATTAACTGCCAAATGGCAGTTCCAATTGACTATTGTGATTAATGATTATAGTCAATTGAAATTATCAATTCACATGATGAATTGATAGTTTTTTTTTTAATAACTATCTAATAATAGTTAATTAATTATCAAAGTCAAATTGACTACTGCAATTGTAGTTAATTGAAAATAAAAATGAAAATGATAGTTTTTAATCTTCATTTCCATTATTAATTCACACATGAATTGATAATAAAATTATACAACAACCATGCAAAAAGTCTTTTCTAATTAATTATTGAAAAGACAAATTCATAACTAAATTACTTCATAAAATTTTGTAAATTCAAAATTCTCAATGGAAGTAATCTTTTAACATAAAATTTACATCTATCATTCATGTAATAATAGATATTCTACATAAAAACAATATTAAAAATCATGGCCATGTATCCCTCATCTTCTTTCTGTGAATGATGTCCTTACCAAAGCTACCAAGACACAAATATGTATGCTTGTTAGTGTCTTCACAGCTTTCTGCAATGCTTCAGATCTAAGGGTGAATTTTGATAAATCAAGAGTAATGTGTTCCAACAATCTTAGCGGAAGGGTAAAGCATGAGGACAACTTTCTGCAGCGCTTCAGGTCTAAGGGTGAATTTTGATAAATCAAGAGTAATGTACTATAACAATATTAGCGGAAGGGTTAAGCATGACCTCTCATAAATTTCTAATATTAAGTTTGATAACAGTCTTGGTAAGTACGTTGGTTTCCCCTTTAATTTAGGGTAGGGTTAAGAAGTTAGATCTAAATTTCATTTTGAAAAGTATTCAATCTAAACTTGCAGCTTGAAAAGGTTTGTTGTTGAATAAGGTAGGAAGGGTTACGCTAGCAAAATTAGTTTTAACGACAATCCTTACTTTATGTAGCAGATTTGTCTTCCATAATCGGTTTGCTTGTGAATTAATAAAATGGTGTGAAATTTCATATAGGGCGGACATACTTTAGGTTGTGGAATTTATTTGGTGAATTGAAATATTGTGTCCTTACCAAGAAATTATGGCAAATTGAGTATTAGGGAGACAAGATTGGCTAAGATGTCTCTTTTAGGTCAGTTAGCTTGACATATCATAAATGAAGGAAGGAAACCATGGATATCAATACTGTAACATAAGTATCTTCAACATTCCAGTTTGCTAAATACTCATAATTTGTCCCATAATGTTTTAATTACATAGATTTTTTTATACAAGACATTTAATTTTCTTTGTGATGGGTTCATCTATAGAGTACACAATGTGGATTTATCTTTATGGTTTGACCTTGTTTGCAGAATGACATATTAGTGTTAGAAATGGACGTGATATACATTATTAATTCATATTTCAAAATTTTAGATTTGTGATATGGTGAGAAATGGAACTTCTGTGTACTAGCTACACAGATTCCAGATTTAGTGAAACAAAAAATCAGGGCCATACCAATTCCATCTTGTCCAAGGCCAGTGAATTGTCTTGTGTGGTTTGCTAACATTAATGGTGTGTATAGCCTAACTCAACTTATTCTTGGCTTTTGTCCAAAGCTAAAAATCTTCTTCCATATGTGAGGTGGACTTGAATTTGGAAATTGAAGGCTTTAGAAAAAATCAAGATGTTTATTTGATAATTATTTCATAATAACCTTTTCATTAATTTATTATGATTTAAATATAATATTTCCTCATCTTCAATCTATAGTGGTTTTACCTAGGAGGACAATGACATTTTATATTATATTAGAGATTGTGTGTTTGTTAGGAGCATTTGGCTTGGACTATGTCTCATAAACCAGCAAGGGTTTTAGTGTTCTGGTATGGTAAAGTGGGTTCAAAGATATGCCTCATCGAACATTTCCTTGTTATTCTTGTTTGGTCTTTAGTGGATTTGGAGGAGGAGGAATATTATAGCTTTTAGGGATAAGTAATTAGGGAATAACTGGTTATTACATCAAATTCACTTTTTAAAAGACATGTATAAACACCCCATTACTATTTTATAGCTTAGGCTTGAAGACAGATTTATTAAACTGGATGTGGATGACAACTCTTTTACAACCTAGGGAGGATTGGATTTGAAGGTTTCTTCAGAAATTTTAAAGGGAGATGGTTGATGAGTTTTATGGGTTATGGAGGTGTTGGTTCTAATTTATTTCCAGAACTGCTAACAATTAAATATGGTTTATTGGTGATATGAGATAGAAGTTTCAGAAAAGTCATATGCAACTCTGATCATACAGATGTTATTCGATTGATTCAAGATAATTTTAACAAGTATTACTTATTTAAAGCTGTTATTTTTTACATCAAAGAACTCTTGACACAAAATTAGAAAGTTCGTCTGCTTGATACTTTGAGAGAAGCTAATTCATATAAAAGTAATTTTGATTTAAGTATTTGGAAGAACCCTCCTCCAAGAGTTTGTTCTTTGTTGTTAATTGATTCTCTATATCCTCTTTATCTTAAATGATCCTATTTTTTTTTCATTGTACCTACAAAAGGGGTTAATTTATCCTATTGATAACCCAAGTTATGGTAGAGATTAGGTTTAATAACTTTGAAGATGATAATGCATATAAAAAAACTTCAATTCTTCAAAAGTACCTAGACATCTTTCTATGGTAATTAGTTGGTTAAAGAAAATTGATATTATGCATCATTAAGAATAGCCCCAAATCTATAAGTTTGTTTGTTTTTTTCTTTTAACATCACACCGTTACAGAGCTGGTCAGAGCATATGAATAACATGGACAATGATTCAAGGCCCTTACTTAATAAAAAAAATCTCAAGAATAAATAAGATATAGTTTTCAATTATACTTTATAAAATGAAGATTTTCCTCACTTAATAAAACACATTAAATACAAAATAAAAATCACTTATAACTTTATTTGTCAAATATACATAAATAATAATAATAAAATATTTTTTAAATATTTTTAAAAAAAATCCATTTGTAATTTTACCTAAACCCATGTTCACCTTATGCCTGCTCATAAGTGTTGATTTCCTTGTGTTTTTAGAGTATGTTTGAGATTATTATAGCGATTGTGATTTAAAATATTTTTTATTTAAAAATATATCAAAATAATATTTTTTTTATTTTTTAAAAATTAATTTTGAAATTAGCATATCAAAACAATATAAAACATAAAACAAAATATTTTTTAGCAAAAGAAAATAATCAAAATTAAAAAAAAATATGATTTCAATTGTGTTCCCAAACAAACCTTCAATAAGAGAAAAATCTAAGACATAATTTAGAATCATATTTTCATTTACCATCAGACAAGATCAAATGACAAATTAAGGCCATGATATAAAGTAAGCGTGGACCAAGTTTATATATAACCTTTGTTTCTTTTCGGACAATAATACTCTTATCAAATTAATGGCAATGATGGAGGCAGGAAAGAACATCATATGTTATTTTTCTATTATTATTGACCCCCTGACCAGTGGGAATTTTTAAATTATATTATCAAACATTTCCTAATAAACATTTGATTTTGTCATCTATGATTTATATATACTAATCTCATTAATTAGCAAGTGATTCTGTGTTAGCCTTCCTTCGTAGCCTCCACTGTATTGAGATTTTGCTGCAGATATCTGTTAGGGGTATTATAATAGTTGTTTTTTAAAATTTTATTTATTTATAAATATATTAAAATAATAATATTTTAAAATTTATTTTTAATATCAATACAAAAAAATGATATAAAATAATAATGTTAAATAATTTTTTTAAATTTTTTGACGAAGCTCATCTATATCACAACTTCAAACAAAAACTTAATCCCTCAACTTTTAAGTGGTGGTTAATTTAACTGCTGTTTTAGCTAAAAAATGCCACCAACTCTAGAAAGTTAATAATAAAAAATAAGAAAGATAAAATTATTTTTTTATTCAATTCATGAGAACCTCTTGTACTGTATTACTAAGCTAAACAACAAATAAAGAACCGATTTATCAGATTTTACCCAAAAAAACCTAAACAAACCTAGTAGTTTAAATATATAGGGGAGAGGAATCGGAAGTGACGATCTACTATTTGAAAAGAAAAGGACTTATGATTGTTAATATTACACTAGAATAATGTTAGATTTAAAACATGTGACATTCGATTAATAACAGGATCCATCATTGTTAATTTTCTGGATTTTTTTTTTAATATTTAACATTTTTCTTAACTTGATATAAGCTAGGATATTTTGAAAACTAGTTCGAATCTCAAATGGTTCATTCTCCCCATTATCATTTAAAACTATTCAAATCTAAACATAAATCAGTTTGCTTAAAAGGTTTGAAATCCCATCAAGTTAAGTTTCTAATCTATTGTTATGACAAGATTTTGAGAAAAATCTATTAGAACTAATTATCACGTGATTGAGAAGCACTCAACTTAAAAACTTTAACCTATATTCAAATTTAAAATGGGCTTGGAATATAATAATTAATTTTAAAAATACCATATTATATAAAAATAGATATAGCCATTGAAACTTTTTGTTATTATGTTTTCTTCTGTTTTTTTTTTTTTCTTCCTGTTTTCGAAAAGCTAGAGCTTGTAATAGTAACAATTCTTTAAATTAACCAAAAAATTAACAGGGCCAAGTGTATCATTGTCGATTCTTCTCTCTGTTTTTTGTTCTATATTCTATAGGATTTTTACATTTTAGTCCCTCAATTTTTTTACTTTTTATTTGGTCATGTGATATTGTTTTAATTTGTGATTTATCTTGATAATTTATTTTTCATGCACGTGTATGAGACTCTTGAGGTATTAGAGAAATGTTCCATCACTTGGTCAATGCTTAGTTTTGCAAGATAAAATTTAATTTAATTTTTTTAATAAGTATTAGAGTTTTGGGAATTGAATTTAAGACAAAAAAATATTCACTCTCTCTCTCTCTCTCTTGCATTAATATCAAAGACTAATTTCTAAGGCACAAGGGAAAGAGTTTATGCTTTTTTTTTTTGTCTATCATTTCTTTTAAGTTGATTCATTTATATTAATTCTATTTGGAACTTGATTTTGTAGTTTATTGTGTTTGCCTATATATAGGGTTCTTGCAATGTTCCAAGAAAATTCTAACACTTGTTTAATGCTCAGTTTGATAGGAAAAATGAAATTACATTGATGTAAACACAAGTAAGTTTTAAGCAACAAAAATCAAAACTAAAAAATAATAACGGACTAAGGTTGATCGGTAGGCCAACTAGGTTCGCGTGTGCACCACACATATTAGTATGTAGAGGAGACCTGCCATGTTCAAGTAGCATGTGCGATCTCCTTTCGTGGGAAAAAGCTCATCTATCATGTTATCTGAAGCGCAATATTATATTCTATCCATTGGTGTGATGCTTGTTGTAAGACGGTAAGTGGTTAGGTAACAACGATATTTTTTCTTTCTCCCCCTCTTTTCTTTCTTTAGGATTTACGCTGGACCAACCAAAATTAAAAGGCGTCATTTCATTTTGTTTTTATGTCAATTTTAGTTATTAGTTTGATTGTTATTTTTTGCTGTAAGTTCTTTTTTAAAATTGATTTTTTTTAATTTTACCCTTTAACATTGAGTTAGTTTGGAATTTGTCATTATGATTTTTTTTCTAGTATGGTGATCCTGACCTAATGACTCAAATCAAGGTTTTCAAAGATTATCCCAAGTTAACATAAGTTTTTTTTATAGATCCTTTTTGTAAACTAATTTTTCTTTTTGATTTCATTATTTGGCATTGGGTTTGTTGAACATTAGGTTTTATTATTTTTTTAATTTTCTTTATGTGAGATTGACCTGGTCTCATGTTTAGTGGGTTAACTCAAGTCTTTTTTCGGGTTATTTTTTAAAGATTTGTTTCTAGTCTTGTCTTTTAACATTTGAAGGGTGTTTAGCATTGAGGACAAAACACTATTTGCCCAAAATTTGATTTTTTTCTTAAAATTATTTTTTAGTATTTTTGGATCATTTTGACGTGCTAATATAAAAAATAATTTTTTTAAAAATAATTTTAATATATTTTTTAGAGAAAAACACTTTAAAAAGCCATTACCAAAATATCAAATTGACTTTTGGTTTGGAAATTAAGCTTTATATTTTATTTTTATTTTGCATTCTTTTAAGTTATCATGTTCGTATAATTCAGCTCACGAGGAGGTTAAGTAGGGTGTGTTGGTTATTTTTTTTTCTTTTCATTTTATTCCTTTTATGTTTAGATTGTTATAAGGAATTGAACATTGTAATTTTTCTTGATTTGTTTTTTATAAAGTTATCCCGACCTCACAACTTGGATCAACTCAAATTGTTTTTTATTTTGTTTTTATTTTTTTAAAACTTAATTTTTTAACATTGAATTATTTAAGAATTAAGTTTCTTGATTTTTTTTACAAAGAATTCTTTTTGTGTAAATTGTTATACTTACTCTTTTTTAATAAAAAAATTCAATTAATTTATTAAATTTTTTATTATATAATTAAATAAAAATAGTTTATTGGTATTCTATGACTTGAATTATAATTATAATTTTATTTTTTAAAATATACTAGCAACACGGGAATAATATTTTTTGTAATGTAAAAATATTTTTAATGTAAGTAAAAAAATTCATTCCAATCCGCGGCGCGGATCCATGGTGTCTGTTGTAGCATGGTGACCACTCTAGTTTACTTTTATTTAAATAAATGATAAAGCAAAATCTAGTCAACACCTCCATCGTTTGTTATAGGACCAGCGCCACGACGGCGGATGACATCGCAGGTGTGTCATGGAAACACAACCATTCTCCGTCCTGCAAATCGTGAAGGCCATTTCCTTTTGGAATTTGACCTTTGCAGCTTTCTTTCCCAAATTAACACAAAATCTACCGTTGGTGGTGATGATTGCATCTGGCTAAAGTTATTGACCGTTGCATCCACCACCACCCTTCAAGTGGACCTTTTAGTTCATAAATAATTAGTGGATACAGGAAATCTAACAACGTGATTAGTTGGCGGTGGCAGATCCGCTTAAAATTATGAACTTCAAGTTCGTTTTAAAATAATTTAGATTTACAAGAAATGACACACACGTTTTTTTTTAAGAAAATGAGTGAAATGATTGCGAAAAATTAATTATTTTTGGGTAATGTTTTTCAAGGATTTCATCATTTGTTTTGATTATTTGAGAATGGTTTGAAGTCTAAGATTCGAATATGTATTAGAGGGGGAATGGCCTCGCCTCCATCGTGTCTATAAATAGCTCGAGGACACCGTCGCCATAAAAGAAAATAAAATCTAACTATGGTAGTAATAAACTAGTAATTTAATTTACTTTATCAACTAATTAAGCTGCTAATTTCGTTTTGTGCATGCAAATCTTATTTCACAACGTTCTTTTTTGGATTCTAGGTTAAGTATTTGAAGCAAATGTTCTTCTTTGAAGGTTACGTGAATGGATGAATGAATGATAAAAGAATTTATTACTAGTCAAAACCCTAAAAAACAATGTGTTAAACATATCTTGCCGTCTGTATTATCATTAATTCTGAGATAAATAAGATTTAAATGGTCTAAATTAAGTAAGGTTTAAGTTTAATTTGATGCATAATCTAATTGGACGGTATCCTTGTCCTCAAATAAAAAGGAATTTCGATACACTTCATCCCTCCGCTAATTAAAAATTGTTTTATTCGGTCCACAAATAAAAAAGAATTTCGATATACATTACTTCATCCATCTGTTAGGTATTATGGATTGACCAATAAAGCTCGACACGTGAAAGATTGTGGGATTAAAAAATATCAAGCCCATGTATCGCAATTTTGTTCATCAATTCTTAATTAACTTATGGAGAGTTGTTATTAAATAAAAATTAATTGTACACGGACATAATAACCGGTGGATATGGGTATGTTTGGAATAAAGGTGTGATAAGGTGTGGTTGGTTTTTTTTTTAATAAAAATCATATAAAAATTAATAAAAAACATGTTTTTTTTTGCTTCCAGTGATGTATGATTTGTGTTTTTAAAAAATTATATTTAAAAAAACATGAATTGCAATTAAACTTGAGAAAATGATGAAGAAATCAAGAACTTGAGAGCTTTTCCCTTCTGTTTTTGCAATTACTCTTTATTTCACCCACAAGGCAAACATTTTTACATTAAGGAAAAGCAATAAAACATGAATTGCAATTAAACTTGAGAGCTTCACTCGTAATAAAACAGTCTTCGCCACTGCGATCCGCATTAATTGATGTAATCAAGAACCACTCCATGAGTTGTATTTAATCTTCGCCACTGCGATCCGCATTGATCTCGTCGAGAATCACCACAAGAGCTACTATGAAGGCATAATCAACATTAGGATACACAGTCACTCCAAAACTATCTGTCTCCATAATAGTAGTCGCGATAGTGTGTCTTCTATGCATCTGCGTTCACATAACAAGAAAATACTAGCATGAGCTATTAATTATGAAGACAACTTTCTTGATTAAAACAATAATAGGTTTTAATGTAAATGATATAATGAAATCTGGGGTGTTTCTATGACTGCCTCAGCCACAGATTACAAATAGTTCTATGTGAGAAGATGATGCTGGTTAAATTTATTCAATGTTGTCATATTTCAGAAATAAGTTTTGTTAATGTTACCTGTGCAAGCATGGTATTGGAATCTCCAAGAAGTACAGAGCAGGAACTCTCTCTGTAGCCTCCTTTGACCTTGAAATCAGGGACGTCTCCTTTGTTGTTAGCCAAGAACACGTCTAACTCAGTCTTGAATTGGAACAGCTTTGATTTCTTGGCTGTGATAATCAAATCACTCTTCTCCTTGCTTTCTCCTCTAAAAGCCTCCCACCTCCGACGCATGGCCATTATCTGGAGAAAACGATAAATTAAACACGCGGTAAGAAATTGATATCAGATTGAGTCATATCATTGTTGTGATGGTTAGATTGAAAAAGAAGAGAACAAAAGACAGAGAGCAATTAAACATACCTTCTGCCTGAGATTGACAAGGGTGTTTCCGGCTGCATCTTTCAGCAAACGACGATGTAGGCTTAATAGTTTACTCTTGACCTGGAAGATGAGGGTGCCATTAATGTCAGACCCCTTAAAATCACTGTTGACGGCGAGCTCAACTATTCTCTCCAAGAGTTCATAGCTTTGTAGAGAAGGCGAGTTCAACAGGGTACTGTGCCAGGTACTGTGGCCTTATTACCACCACTGGATGCTCCACCGGCGGGTATGTTCTTATAGCTGGAACGGGGTTGCCTGGTGCGTGCCCAGTAGCCATAATCACAGAAACAAAATATTACTTGAAGAGATAAACAGAAAGAAAAATTGCTAAATTTCTATATTATGCAGGTCTTGATGCCTTACAGAACTAGTCTTTTAGAGGAATGATGTACGTATTTTATAGTGCCACTTAACATATGGCATACATATGGCATGTCGTGTCTTTAAATAAATAAAAAAAGGCTCTGTCTTTCTTCGTAAATCGCAAGTTCTATTTTGCAATTACATTGTTTGTTTCAAGAAACCAAATTACTGAAATCTATTTTTTTTTATGTTTGGCAACCATCTCCAGAAAGTTAGCTAAAAAAAAAAGTTTTTTTCAGTAAAAAAAAACTATTTTTTATCATAAAAAAGTGTTTTTCTTTTCTTGTCAAAAGAAAAATACTTTTTTATCTTTATATAAAACACATATTCGAAACACTTTGTCAAATCTCCTTTTCTCTGTGTCTCTTTTCGAAAACAAAAGCAAGAAGAACAAGAATCATATCCCTGGACACTTTTTATTTTAGATATTTTTTTCCCTCAAATTTCTCTATTTCTCTATATTATTTCCTTTATATGTTTTTATCTTTTTTGTTTATAGATATGTAAGAATTATAGCAAGAAATCCTTTGATCTTGTTTAATTTGTTGTGTTTGTTCCCAAATAAACTATTATTACTCTCAAACAATCCATAATGGTTTATTTTCTGCCTGTAAATTTTTTTCCCATACCCAGTTTTCTTCATCATCTTACCTCGTCATGTTCAAACAAATTCACATAAAAAACCAACCAAATTCATCACAAGCAAGCCATAAAAATTATTACATTTTTTCTTGCATATTCGGCAACTTCTTTATAGAAACCAAACTTCCCCATCTAGTCCCAACCCTATTTCCTCGTCCCCAGATTCAGCGCAAAGAGAGAGACGCGGAGTAAAAGGGGGAATCAGTGAATTTGTTGTTTGCTCTCTTTTCTAGCATTGTCAGTACATTTAGCCAGGTGACACGACTAAAAGATTGATGTCTTCTCCCAAGTGCAGGAGTGTCGAAGTAATAAATAACCCGACAAGACCGGGGTCGAACCACA